CTTCTCCACTTGGCAGATTTCATCCAGGAAAACAGAGGGCTGCAAAGGGAGGTGTGAGGGTCAGAGCTACTGTTTGTATATAGACAGCGCGGTGTATTGTCTGTTCCTCTGAAAAGGAAAAGCCAGGCTGAACAGCAAACACATTTTTACTGGATAAGGTTTAGACCAAAAAGCAAAATCATCTACTGGCTTTCAATCATTTTATAAAGATTTATTTTATGTAGTCCAGTATCAAACAGTTCCAATGCTTTACTGAAAAAAGTTAATAATAATTTAAAATACTCTGTGCAAGACAGTGATCTCCTTTTACTCATAATTGCACTAAACTGAGTTTTCAGAGGAATTGAAGTGGGATTTGAGGGAAACCTTTAGGGAGAACTAATGTCTAGCTGAAACTGTTAGACATCCGGGGATCCTAAATACCTGCAAACTTCTTTTGTTACCTGATCTTAGAGGAATTTTTTAAACCCTCATAAACTAAGTGCCTTAAATTAGCACACACCTTTTCAAGTCACCCCAGTGTGGAAATCCACACATTTGGGTCACTTGAATACCTAGAATGAGGCCTGTCCCTCACAGCTGGGGTTTTGTACCAAGTGCTAACACTTATTTTCAGGCAGTGCTAAGCTGAATGTGCCAGAGTGTGGTGTTTGGTCTCCAGCATGTCTCCATGGATCATTTAGGCCCTTCTTAAAGGCAGAGGTTTAGAACCTGACAAAACCAAGTTCTGTGTTTAAGCACTGGAATCAGAGCATTGGCCTGTGACAGCAGCCACCCCTGAAAGGTTCAGGTGTAAGTGCTCAAGGAGGGCGATCCTGGCAGCTGCACAGAGCCAGGAGAAATGCAGCAGTGAGGGGTTCACTGCCTACCAGTGGTTTAGAGCAGCCAGGGGCATCCTCGTTGGCCACACACTTATGAGCCAAATCAACCACGTCCTTCACCAGCTTAGACAGTCCATCGTAGGAACATCTCTGGAGGTACTGGGCAAATGTGATCATGGCACTGCAACACAAAGCACAGTTTGGAATATCAGACTGAGGAACATCAGGCAGTATTTGCAGAGCTGCCTCTGAATTGAACTTCAAATTACATGCACAAAGGTTCACCACAGCACCGTGCAGAGCACAGTGCCAGATCCCACATCTGTCGTCTTCTCTCCTCCTCTCTGAATATGTTTTTAACCTTCCCAATAACCTTTTAACCCAATAACCTTTTAACCTTTAACCTTCCCAATAACCTGTTTACATTCCCAATAAAAAAAGTCTTGAATATTAAATTATAACCAAACAAGAAAAGACTGTGATTGGAATTTCCGTCACTTTTACCAGCGATAAATCGTAACTCATAATTGCCATGACCTGAGCTGGATTTGGCCACTGTTAGCAATTATGATCTTCAGGCTGCCTTACGTGTCTGTCAGGGCCCTCTCTTTCCCAAAACCAGTTTCAAATGAAGATCACTGATTTGTCCCAGAAAACCTGTCGCAGGTTTCTTTTTGAGGTTGGTAGTTTGTGGTTTTTTTCTGACCAATGCAGAATGGTTTCTCTTCATTCTAGGGATAGCAAACCTGTATTCCTCATGCCTCTTTAATTTTCAGAGAAGGAACAGAGGCTTTTTCGCAAGGTTTCCAAGGAGCTCTTTTCCCAGAGAGCAAGGAAGTCATTGTAACATTTTCAGGTCTTAAAACATTTCTAGGTTTTGCAGTGACAGGAGCTGAGTGAGTGTTTCAGCGAGACTTACACACTCCCTGTGAGCTCTTAGAGAGTGCCTTACTTTCCCTTTTTGGTACAACATCAAGAGAGACAAAAAGCCAGTTAGGAGGTGGAAGCTGAACGTTCACTTACACTGCCTTGAATGTCTCTTCCTTCAGGTCGTTGAAGCGGTGGGCGATGGGGCTCTTGTGGTCTGGGAAGAAAAGGAGAGGGAGCAGTGATGCTCGCTGTCACACTGCCTGTGCTGGACCCTGAGAAATGCCTTCTGGGCACCAGGGCACAGATTTTCACCAGGCTTCAGCATGCACCTGACTTCCGTGCTGAACAGCTGAGGAGCTTGAACTCGTGTTCATTTGTCTGCAGGTACCCAACTCTTAGGTTTGCTTGTGTGTCTGAGGGAACCCCAGCCTGTGCTTTTTATGACCTAATAGAATATTCACCTCTGTAAGCAGCTTCTTCATTCACTCAGAGTGACTGTTGGGACTTATTATTCAGGGTTAGCAAATGTGTCCTTTGGGTAACCACCCCCCCAAACGCTGCAGATAAAGCAGTGCAGCTGCAGTTTGATTTGAGCAAACCTTCTTCTTCTGAACACAGTTATTAACTTTTCAAAAGACAGAACTTCCAAGAGCACAGTGCAGCTGCTTTTTCCGTGGTGGAAAGGAACAGATCCTGACTCACTGACATCAGTTCATTTGTCCTGAGTGTCCTACCCATCTCCCCACTGTCTCTTGATTTAGTTTATATTCAAGTCCATCACATTTTTCTGTTCAATATGGATCAGGCTCCCACAAATTATTTGTGAAACTATATTAAAGACATTAAATTGATAGAAAAAAGACTTCCAAGAGAAGTAATTAATCCTTTCTTACCTGCATCTCGTGCAGTTCTTTGCAGGTTCCTGGATCTGGCAGAACTCAGGAGAAAAATAAATGAAATTAATGTTAACCACTTCATGGTTTCAGATTATGATGTGAGCAAAATTGCTCAAAAGTGCTAGGAAGATTGAAGGAAGAGCATCTGCTTATATACCCTTCACTAGCTGTGCTTGTAAAACATTAACCATCAGGCTGGCATTTGTGAATTGCCATTTGGCCTGAGGAAGATTACAAAACTTCAGCTGCCCTTGACAAAAATTAATTTGGTATTAGTTATTTATTCTGTGTTGTTATTGTGGGCCTTTTTGTCCCGAAGAGGTCGAACCTCCCAGCACCCAAAAAAGATAAAGTTTTGCGTAAATTTCCTTATCAAATGACAAACAAGGAGTTCAAGGCATCAGGGCTAATCCTGTGGCCTTTTTTTTTTGCTACTATTTGTTCAAAAGCAGAGCATGTTGGTATTGTATAGCAGCCGCTCACCAGAGACCATTCAGTCCACCTGAAATTAGAGAATTTTAATTTAAAATCACTGTATTGAGATGAGATGGCTAATCTAGACATGTGTGGCTGCTTTGAGCTCCTGAATTTGTTGGGTCCTGCTCTGGTTTTCCATGGGTGCTGCTGTTCACTGATACCCAGAAAACAGCCAAGCACATGGGCAAACATGTGCAAGAGCTGCTCATTTCAGAATTTTTGCAATTTCTCATTTGTACAGACATCTTCCCAAGAGTAATCTCTTAATTAAACATGGCTTTCATCTCTGAAAAATTTCCCATTGATTAGTCAGTAACTTAGGAGATCAGACGTAGGAAAACTGTGCAGTTTGCACAGGGCCCCAGGACATGGAATAAATCAAAATTACTTTTCAGGACACACAGTGAGATGCTTCAGAAATTCCCAAACAAGTACAAGGCTGGATCCTTGCTGAGTGCAAAGTGATGTAGCTTCCAGCGGGAGATGCTACAATTTATTTTAATTAATTTGTGTCCCCAGTGTGTGGATGTCAGCCCACACAGCTGGAGGTTGTGTGCTGCCTTGCAAGTGCTTGGTGAGCACCCACGTGGCAGAGCCCAGAGTGTGCTCTCCAAACTCTTCCTTAGTCTTTGAAGTTCCCTTTTTTTACTCTGTTTTTCTTCCTCAGATGGGCAGTTTTGCCATAACTCCATAATATTCCTAATGGGAATAGTAAGAACAATTCCATGATCGTTTTCTGGAAATTTGACTGAGTACATGCATAATACTTCCTTTTGCTTCTGAGTGTGAGCTGCTAAAGACATTTGAAATAAGGCAAATGATATGTCTAAGCTCAAAATATTTGCAGGCAGTTTTCATTCAGGAAAATGCCTAGGCAATGCACCTTGTGTTCTTCTCTGCAGCTGAGATGAGTTCACACAATAGTTTGATACAATGAAATTTCTACAGGCTGCTGCTGTTGCAAAAAAAAAAAAACAGTGCATTTTCCTGAGTCTGCTCCTGATATTTCTATAGGTAAAAGGCAGCATTCTGTTAGTGATTTAAATGAACAAGGCTCTGTTTTGGGAATTAAAAGGTTATTTGGATAACTCTTACATGGAGGATGGTGCAGAAAAGCCAGGTTGGCAGAAAAGCAATGATAGAAATGTCATAATATTAGACATGGAGATTGTTTTCAGGTGGTTGTAGCAAAAACCACATTTCTGGAGAAGATGGGAATTGATGAGCAATCTGGACCTTTCCGACATGTGCTGCTTTAGCCTAATAACACCTGGGCAAAGAGCTCGTTAATTCAGTCTGTAATTATTTTACTGACCGTATCCCTCGCTCAGAGAAGAGCCATCTCCTTTCACATTTCAGGAGAGCATTCAGTGGGACAGAAACACACGTTTAGGTATTTTGTGGGTAACTATCAGGCAAAACTGTGGTATTGCTGAATGATGTCTTAGAACAGCTCTTGAGATGCTCTCAGGCTGTACCAAAGAAGTCTCCAGAAAACTACAGCTAAGGGTTGGGAGGGCAAAGCTGAAATTCAGCACCATGATTGCAATGTTGCATCTTGGAAGCTCTCTGGAATTTTCCCTTGCATCATTGTGCAGTGTTAGCAAGAACACTCCTGGTCCCCTGGAGTTAATATGTAAGTTTGGAATACAGGGTCCATGTTTATTTCTAGATATCTTCTGTTGTCTGTCCTGTACTTGATGCCAATGGTTCATATAACTGCTGAGAGCTGAACTCCAATGCTCATGTTTGTTTAACAGTATTAAATAGTATGCTGAGTTCCTTGTTACTCTGTGCTTTCATACTGCATTGATTTCACTCCAACAGTTGTCCTGGCATTAGAAAAAGGAATTTATCAATGGCATTGTAGGATGATCCATTTTCACACTCATTTATGACTGAAGTTACATGTATATAACTAGTTTTATTCCAGGTGTGGGGAACCAAAGGACAATAATTCCAAGAGTAATTGACCTGGAAATAAAAAGGATGCATAGTTTTTAAATACTTCATCATACCAGCCTGTGCAAAGTGGAAGAGTAGAAGCAGTGGACCGAGAGGTACTAATATGGAATGGGGCTCTTGAGAAACAAATGTGATGTATCATGAGAAGAGCAGTCAGAGCCCTTTTGGGAAGTAAGTAGTTTTCAAAGTAATCTCTCAGAACCCAAAGGACATCAAGAACCCCTTTGCTTTTGTGGCCCTCAATTTTATTTACTGCTGTTTCTTCCTTTTTTCAAGACCTATAGTTCTGTTTGTGGGACGGGACCATGAGGCACACACCAAACCTAGAGACAAGACATTGCTGTGCCAGTAGCCACAGTGAGTAGCTATTTTTTAATGACTGTAATGATCAGTGTATTTCTAAATAAATGTCTGTAGCTCTGGATGCATGGACAGGTACCAGACATACGTTTTTTTCCTGCTCTGGTGCAGGATGTTTGCCATTCTTATCGCTGATGTCTGGCTCCAGAACGAGTCCAACCTGTCAGATGTATGGCTTTTGTTTGAACAGAGATGGACTCGTCCATACAAAGCAAACATAAAGACAGAAGGGGTTTGAGGCAGAGACCTGCTCAGGTGTAGCCAATAGCATTCCATGTCAGGTGTATGTCCTGAGCATATGGTGAGTTCTGATGCTCAGCTGTTCATCTTCTGGCACCAGCCACTCACCTGCAGAGTTAGTGAGCTTTTGATCATTCACAGAAGGATTTTGGAATCGACAAGAATGACTGTTCCTGCTGATCCTGTACACTATCCCTAGGCCGTTCAAGCATCCCTACCCCTTTGTCTCACAAGTCCACAGTGTAGTGATGTAGCTGTTTCCCTTATTAATGACCATTTGCCAACATCATTCTTTGGCAGCAGGAACAAGAACAGCTTTGCTTTGCCTATTAAGCATTCGATTGCCTGAATATGTACAAACACACAGCCTTCAGTGCTTTTTGAGGGTATCAGTTCTGAGGCTTCTCAGAACTTGTCTCTGCTTGACAGCTTTGCTTTGCCTATTAAGCATTCGATTGCCTGAATATATACAAACACACAGCCTTCAGTGATTTTTGAGGGTATCAATTCTGATTTTTGAGGGTATCAGTTCTTCTCAGAACTTGTCTCTGCTTTCCATGTCCCTGTGACTTCTTGCTCTGCCAGTTCAAGTAGGTAATCCCTCAGATAGCTGAGTATGGGCTTCATCTGTTATCCATTTCTAAGGTCCCTCAACAAAAATCAGTGCTATATCTTGGTAAGGGCATATCTAAATTTTGTATCTAAATAGAAAATAGATGTGGGAAAGAAGTACTTGAGGCGCAGCATTGCTCTATTCAGGAAGTCCTTCTCAGGAAGAGGTTTTTCTTCAGTATTTCTTACAATGCCTTTGATGTGGAACTGAAATCGTTGCGCTGCTGTGATTGATGTTCAGCCCATGATAGGACTATCAGTGGAGATCTATTTTCTTCCTCTTACATAACTCCCTGAGGTCTTTGGAATCCAGTGCATTCACTTGTGCCCTAGAAACTTTTTGGCACTCAGCTTCCAATTTCTGTTCTGCTCTGCTGTGTTACCTGATGGCCTTTGGCAGGAGAGAAGAGCCATTTAATGTGGTGTAGTCAAGAGCCAAAGCTGAAAGCTTCTGTTTGGCAAGAGATTGTTAACATTCCTTTCCTAAATTCGATGTGCTTTAGCAATAAAAGAAATAATGAAAACTTCGGAGGAACAGCAGGAAATGTTTGGAGCATCTTTTTGTTTTGCATTTCTTTAGGCCATTGAGCCGTAGCCTTCAATTTTTAAAAAAAAATATGTCTACTAACTTTTTTTGTAAGTGTATATGCTAAAATCAGGAGCAATAAAATCAACTAATGATTCTGGGAGCCACAGGTTTTGCTCTCAACTTGAAACACTTTAGGGGTTGAAAAAAATCCTGTATGTCTAGAGGGGCTGTGGGACTTGTGGAAAATTTCTGCCATTCTGCAGGTGCCCCCCACAATGTTACTGCATCACCTGGCAGTGCTGACACTCTTACTTGCCTTATTTTCCATTTAGTTTCATTGTAAACTTAGGGTTTTCCCATTCTGGTATAAAAACTGCCAAGCTATTAAATATTTTCTCCTTCATGCCCATCTCCACAGAAACAGACTCTGTGTTAGTGCTAAAATTGTTCTCTTGTGCTGGTTTTTCTGCTAGGACCTTGGGGTGTTTTTGTTGGTTTCTTTCTTGGGAAGATCCTAGTTCATCTCTTTCAGACAACTTGTAAATGTTCAAGCATTAAGGACATAAAGGGAGTGATTCTTTTCTCAGCCTTTCCTCTATTCCTGAGCAAACAATTCCTTAAGAAAAAGCCCTCACAACTTTGAAAAATGAAAATATAGTAGTTTTAAATGAAGTGCTGGAGCAAGAATAGCATTTTCCACCTCAAATATCCCCTGCTGTCTTTGGAATTTCTTTAGCTGAGAGTCAGGGCCTCAGGTGGCACCTCAGCAGGAGAAGAAAAGTTTGTAGAGCCATTTTTAGGTCCTCGTTAATGGAGCAGGCAGGACAAGACATTTTAAAATTTGGCACTGCTGTTTACTTGCTGACATAAAAGGATAGTCCACTTCTGCACATTATGCTGCAATTACAAATTCTGAGGTTCCATGAATGAAATGTGAAGCATCTTGTCCCTTTATGTGAAATCCAAAGGCAAGGTGAAATATTTCCATGTTCTGCCTTAGCCTGTGAAGCCAAGTTCAGTTAGTCATATCCCAGTACCAGTATTTTCCTGTTGTTAGAATCTATTGCTTTTCAAGCAGCATTCAACCAGACCACATTTATTAGGTGAGCTCTGGCTTGCAGTTCCAGTTCAGTACTTCCAGATTGCCAATGATATTACCAGGGTGTAATGATCTCTTAGAAGAGAACTGGATTTGCAGCAGCAGCAGCAACAAAACATTGTCTCTCTTCAGGTTGCTGTTTTCCTTCCCATGTTCTCCTTTACCTGGATTTGTTGCACTATGATATGTAATTCTGGAAACCTGGGATTCCCAGAGTTAAGGAAGTGACTAGAAATAATACAAAACTGAGGAAACGTTGCTTGGTTTATTTGTTGGTTTTTCTTTAGAGTAGTGCTTCTAAACTCTCATTTTCAAAATGATGAATGACTGGGGTTTGAAATTCGGTGTCTCTGACTTTGAGGGCCTTCAGGAACACCTGATTTTAGAAGAAAGGTTCCTCAGCACGTTCCCAGAATCAGAAAAATTTCTCAGAGACCAGAAACTGTGATTGAGCTTAGCAAAGGTCTGTATAGTTCATGAGGTTCTCTTAAATAAGTTATCAGAAGATTGGTCCATATATCAGAGGAACTAAGGAGATCTATCAAGCAGACCTGTGGCTGTGTAAAGCCAAATAGCTGTGATGTTTGAATTGGTTTTTTTAAATTTGAACACTAAACTGAGAATCCTTCTTAAGCCATGCAAAGAAATATTAACAAAATCTTTGCACATGAAGCTTTTGGTGTTGTCTTTTGGATCAATTAGGCAGAGGCTACACTCCCAAGGGCATTCCTCTGTGGTGCTCTCCAGCCCCATGCTGACAGTCCTTGACATTTGCTCTCTGCCCAAAGGCCTTTTTTGCTGATACCAACAGCGCTTCAATATTGCCAGCCAGGCATATCCACAGGTCAAAAAAATGACTCAGGAAATTCAGTTAGAACAATTAATGTAGTAGTGCCCTTCCCTGGTGTGGGATTCGCCCTCTCTGAACCTGAGAGAAGCAGAGAATGATCAAAACAATTCTTATCTCATTTGCTGCTCCAGTGCTGTGCCAAAGTAGAATGCAATATGCAGATGGTTCACCCACCATGGTGGCGTTTTGTTTCCTTGGCCTATCGGGGCCAGGCACGTGTCCTGACGGTCAGTCAGGAGACAGTCATGAGATTTTTGCACTTTAGATGTGGTGTAGTATAGTATAGAATAATATAGTATCATAGAGTAATTCATTAGCCTTCTGATGTCATGGAGTCAGATGCATCATTCTTCCCAGACAAGGGGTCACCTGATTTTACCATACTCTGGTACCTTCAGTTCAGTGTGACCTTGGGACTCTGACTTTCCTCCTTGACTCTGAGTGCTGGAAAATGGAGTGGGAGCTATTCCCAGCACAAAGAGGCTTAAGGCTTCCCTTAAAGTCAGTGCAGATCTAGGCAGATTCCTGACTCCCTGGACTGGAGATTGGAAGCTGGGCAAATTATGTGTTGAACCCAATTTCTCCCAGTTCCTTCTGGCAGAGAGGACAGCCTGGTGCTAAGTCAAGACTGAGGACACTGTTGCTGGTGAGCCCAGGAAACCTGAAAATGCTGGGAGTCTGATATGAACGCAAGTCTCGTGGTTTCTCAGGTCCTGCTGCACTGTTGGGCGCTGCAGCCTCTTGGCTGTCAGCGAGAGGAGCTCTGGGATGGATCCTTTGACATCCCAGAATACAAATGTTCTTGTATCACTTGATAGAAATCTCTCTCGTACAGAGCCTGCCCTCCCTGCAGGTTTGTCAGAGCCAATAGGGAAATATAACTGGATTTTATGGAAGTTTATCAGTACTCTCATGTTTCAGTGAAACATTTTGGATTCAGTTAATTTACACGCTGTATTGGTGCACTTGCCAGTGCTGGGTTATTGGTTGCATTTGATGATCATGAAGGGACCGGTTTGGTCAGGCACAATTTGCCCTTAGTGAAGCTGTCCTGCATCACTTCTCTGTCTTGCGTGTGCCTCAACACTGATTCCTTAAGATGTGCTCCAGGGCCTTCCCCAGCACAGAGGTAGGGCTCACCGTCTGTGGTTCCATGGCTCTTGCTTTCTACCCCTCTTACAAAGAGTTTCCCTTTTCCCAGTCACTGGGGACTTCACCTGACAGCTGTGACTGTTCCGAGGTGATGGAGAGTGGCTTGGAGACCACATGCATCATGCAGTTCCCCCAGGACCTTGGGATGTGTGCCATCAGGGACTCGTGGCTATAGAATGTTCCATGTCATTCCCACTATCCCACTGTCACAAAACAGAAACTCCACTGACATGGGCTTAGGTTATTTTGCCTGTCCATCCACAAGAAGAAAACTTCACACTCAAGCTGGTCATAAAATTCAGTCCAGAACAACATAACATCGGAGTTAAAAATTATTGTGTGGAGAAATTGAAATTGAGACTAGGCTTCCCAAGGAACTTGTGTGTATTATGTCAGTTAGTTAGTTAGCATTCAAACAAAAGCAAGATTATTTTATTTGGTTCTTTGTTATTAGGCAGGCAACCTATCTGCTCCCCCTTCTGAAAGGGAAATGAGGTTTTCCCTTCCTGCTTTTAGTGTATAAGTGCACTTTAGGCAGAGCCTCCTGTCTCTTGGGCACTGATATTGCTTAAGGAGCTTTTTGGCAACTCACAAAGGTTACCAGGCCCTCTGTGCAAGGTTTTGAAATATATTCAGCATTGACCTAATTCTGGTCACGTCAAAGTCAGTGCCAAAACTTGCCTGATTTCTCTGGAAACCGAGCTTAATCCAAGGGAGATTGTATCTTGGATCTTTCCACACAGATTTTCAATCCTCCCTACAATATTTTAAGCAAGTTATTTCACACCAGATCACAGAGATGTTTTTGGATTGGTTAGTGGATGAGTAGGACATGTACCTGCAAAAGCAAGTCTAGCTCAGGTAATATCCAGATTACTCTAAAAATGATGTTCAAGCCTAATCTCTTCCTAAACGAGGGCTCTGACGGGGAAAGCTACAGTGTGTCCTGAATAAAAGGTGTCAGCATTCCATAAGATCCAGCCCGATGAAGCATTCTCCAAGCTCTCAGGCAGGAGAAATCTGCCACCTACTGTTAAGAGAACTGTTTGCACAAAGAGGCCGTGGACCTCAAAACTGAGAACATTTTCATGTCCCTGTGGGAAAAGAAAGTGACAGTCGTAGAGAATTGCCACACTGATGTGTCCAAAAAAGAGATCAGCCCTCACTGGGGTTGGATTAATAATGGAGAGAACACTCGGCTTGTTGATTAGTAATGATGTGTGATTTATTTGCTGCTCTTACTGCATGTTATCTGTGCAATGCTTATGGAGGCAGTTTTCTTGAAGAATGTTTGCACTGTCCTTACAGGAGTCTTTTTAAATTAAAGAAACACATCAGAAATACAGAATGTGAGAAGTTCCCTAAGAAATGAGGTAATGCTGATAAAGCACTCCAGAAATTCTGGACTGCTTTTCTGGCTTGTGACAGTCACTATCTAACAAAGAGATGTGCAGGATTTGGAATTAGGATACTTAAATGTTGCATGTGAAGTGCTTTGCTGAATCCAAGCTTAAAATCAAGCAGCCTCACTGAAATCAAGCAGCATTTAAGAGCTTTGGTGTACATGGAGAGACTGTAGTGATGTCTGAAGGTAAGCCTGGTAATTTGTATTCAAACTGAGTTCTGAAAAGTTAACTATTAGCAATTAATATATTGTCTGTAATTGAAAATTACACACTTGAGAAAACTGAGCCGAGGCTGTGCATTAGAATTAATGACTGAAAATAAAAGATCCAGATGTACCTTTCAGGACACTCATAGGCTCACTCACTAGACAGTTATAAGTTTGGCATTTGAGGTATTTTCTCATTAAAAAAGTATAAATGAACTCAGAGGCATAGGGAAGAAAGTAAGAGGATGCCAAGTGACAAAAAGAAAATTCACCCCACCAGCACTTTTTCTCTTTATTGAAAAGATCACTAATTGAGGAACACAGAGCTATTTCAAGGCAGCTCCTACCTTTGTAACTAGCTAGCAATAGAGTCAGTGGCATTGTAAATGCCACACACAGAAATGCTTGCTTAGCCCGCTGGACATAAACTACACAGAACAAAACCACTTCATATTTACTGTCGAATAAAAAAAATTCAGGACATAGATATTTAAGAATCCAATGCTTTAGTGAAAGCTAATTTCCAAAGCCTTGGGAAGAGCTAACATCAGACTGGTTTTAGCTGCAGGTGCCGGCTTTTAGCGCCACCCAGAGTCGCACTGGAATAACAGCAACATTGAGCTCTCCTGTTTTTAAGAACCCACGGGCCCCTGAAGCGGAGCAGGACCCCACAATATGCAGCCGGTAAGTGAAACAGCACACAGCAACAAGTGAGGGCAGGCTCTGTTTGAAAACAGAGGCTCCAGGGGAATTTTAGGTCATCAAAAACTTGTGGACGGTTTTTCTAGTTCTAATTTGAGTTCTGTAAAAATGTTCTTCCTTCACTTCAAGTGCTTTTCTGAGATACCAAAGGCATTTCTTACACTGCCCTCACTGAATCCAAGGTCTTACCGAGTTTTACATGGAGATTCCCACTCCCTTCCTTATCCAGAGATAAAACTACCCTGGGAGGATAAATATTTTCAAGGCACACTCTATATGAGGAGAGAAAAAACAGCCTGAGCCTTGTTGTTCTGCATGCCAGTAGAAAGCTGCTTGCACTGAGATCTTCCAAGCTGCTCCAGGAGAAGCTGTTTCAAGGACTAATTTCAGAACTAATCAATTGTTGACTTTAAAAAGTGGTTACTATAGAAATTATCATTATGGATTGGCTGGACCCAGGCACAACACAGACTGTAAGAAATGTTTAACCTTCTAGCTGACTCCTGTGCAGCCCACAGCTGATGCTGCCTTAAATGTCAGCAATTAAAAAATAAAATTAAAAAAACCAGCAAAATATTAATTTGACAAGTAAACTTTAATACTCAAATATAGGTGATGCGGCTTTGGCTTGAGAGATCTCATTTAGAGTTTTGGATTACAGATCCCTTATACATGAAATACACCAAAAAAATTCACTTTATCTTATGATTTGTCTTGTCTTTGTCTTACATTACCTGTGACCACACTGAAGAGAATGAGCAAGAATCCAGAATCTTGTCCAGATGCCCTTGGCCTCTATGTGCCATGATGTTTTTCAGTTTTGTACTAAAAAAGGATAATAATTTTGAAAGTTTTTCAAGCAAATTAGGAGCCTGAAACACACCTTGGGAATAATTTATGCATGTTAACATGTAAGGTTGACAGAGTATTAATGCATTTTAGGATTTCAAGTGCTGAAGCCATTTCTTACCTAAGACTCCCCAAGTACTAAATATATTACAGAACCCCTGTTTTGTTTTTTAACAGAGCACTAGCAGATTTCTTCATTGAATCAGTTGTTGAAAGGTTTTGCTTTCTGGGCTTGTTTTTCCTTTCACAGCTCTCCCTGTGAGGAAGTGGTCAAAGCTGGCATGATGTTCTAAGAGCAACTGATAGAGCACGCACCATCAGTCCCTGAGAGGGAACACAAATGGTTCTCAGGGCACCTGAGTGGGATATGTCTGTGTGTCTCCAGTGACACTCATCATGGGTGAGGACAGCCAAGGGCAAATCACCTGCCTTACTGCACCAAACAGGCAGAAGCTGATCCCAAAGGGGCTTTCACACTGGAGGGGTTTGAGTGAGACCAGTAATGTAAATGCAGTTTGAGTGTGAACAGTAATGCAAATGCAGTTTGAGTGTGACCAGTAATGTGAATTTACCTTCTGCTGTAACTCTATGCACTTCTCTTGGGCTAGCACTGCTCTTTGTAAATTCCCCATCTGTCTGGATTGTTTTTATTTTCTTTACTCACAAGGCCACACCACCTGAGATGCTCACAGGAAACTCGCTGTAATGAAGAAATGCAGATGATTAATAAATGTAATTTAAAGCAAATTATATGGCTACATAAAATCTGTTCTAAATCATTGTTTTCCTTGTGCAATTTACTGGGATTAAAACTGAGTGGTTTAGACAAGGCTAAAGATGTGTCTCACGGAGCTGCACTTCTCTGAATGTTCAAACAGTTGTGTTCTTTTCCTTCTTTCTCCCTTTGCCTTGGACAGCAGGCATTGCATACTTGCTGGACAACTTCAGTTCTGTTACTTCTGTTTAAAATTAGTCCAGGTGGTTTAATTGGTTAATCTTACCTGCCATTTCTGAGGATCTTCCCTGCTAGGCACCAGGGAGGTCCAGTGAGCGAGTTCCTTTGGTATGTGTGTTGAAACAATACAAGCTGGGGTTCACAGTTCCCTGAATGATAGAAATAAAACCATTCCAGCACATATAGAAGCTGCAGCAATGGCAAAACTGTAAATATCAAAGACAACAAAAGCGTTCATCAGTGAGAATGGCAGGATTTGGGGTTTGGATTGAAGTTTATTTGGATGATCAGCTTGGTAGCTTTGTGGAAGTTGTACCAAAAATTCAAGAAGTTATGAACTCTTTTCAGTCCCTGTATTAATTGCAAACAAAACTCATGCTCCCTGCTTCCTGACCTTGACAATGACACTGCTTCCAGCAGCTGTAAATGAAACTGAAAGCAGATCCATGAGGATAATTACACCACAGCAGAGGTTTCAACACATTGTTTGTCCTATAGAACTTTTTAAGGAATCTGGCACACAGGAGGCAGTTCCTGAAAGCATTTCCTGAATCCAGATCCCAGGTTTTCCCACTACTCCTATGGAGCGCTCAGTGGAATGATCAATGGCCTGGAGGAAATGGAATAAATAGGAAAGCAGGAATCACAGATGAAAGAGATAACGAAGGATTGTCATTTTCCTCAACCTTTAGGAGGGTGGAGAGGCCCTGGCACAGGCTGCCCAGAGCAGCAGTGGCTGCCCCGTGCCTGGGAGTGTCCCAGGCTAGGTTGGAGAGGGCTTGGAGCAACCTGGGATAGTCAAGGGTGTCCTTGCTCATGGCAGGAAGCTGGAACTAGGTGATCTTTAACATCCCTTCCAACCCAAACCAGTTTGTGGTTCTGATTCCACGATTTCCTGCAGCTTTATGCTACCAACAAACCCAAGTGTCCAAAGTTAACCAACTTCACAGACTCACCAGGGAAGGAAATGTGTTTTTTAGGTGTTACTGCCCTACTTAGAGCCTGCACTGACTTTTCATGATATGAAATCCATTCTCTACGAATGGAAAATCAGGAAACACAGTTATGGGTCATACACCCTTGTGGAAACTGGGACACACAAAAAACAACCTAATAAAAAAATGTGGATTATTTACTCCTTCATTATGTCTTGGTGATTTCCACAGTATTTACAAGAATGTTTTCCTTTGGGTTTCTAAAATATGAAGTGCTGGAGAAATGTCACACCTTCCCAAGGCATTCAGACCATCCCAAGATTAGGAGCAGAGTTGTGTTAGCAGCTTTTGCCCATGACAGAATCAAATCTCATGAGCCCCACGGTTCCAAAACTGAGTTTCTCTAAAGAACTGAAGTGCTTTGCTTGCTGTTGCACTCACAGAATCTCATTTAGGATGGAAAACACCTCCAAGACCAGCCTGTGACCAATCTCCAGCTTGCCCAGAACACTGAGTGCCCTGTCCAGCTGTCTCTTGAACAACTCCAGGGATGGTAACTCCACCCCTTCCCTGGGCAATCCCAATGCTTGACAACCCTTTCTGCAAATAAATTCTTCCTCATTTCCCACCTGAACCTCCCCTGGCACAACCTGAGGCTTGTTTCTTGTTCTATTGCTTGTGAACTGGGAGCAGAGCCCGACCTCTACCTGGCTGCACCCTCCTGTCTGGGGGGAGTTCTAGAGTTCCCTGAGCCTCCTTTTCTCCAGGCTGAGCCCCCAGCTCCCCCAGCCACTCCTCACGACTTCCTCTCTAGACCCTTCCCCAGCTCCACTGCCCTTCTTTGGAAGGGCTCCAGCACAAAAGGCTCAAGCTGGGGTGGCAGGGAGAGGGGGATAACCGGGAAATGGAGGAGGACTTGCTCTGCAGCGCCGAATGAGGAGGCGCCACTCTTTGATCAGAGCAGAGGTCGCCCCGTAAAAGCAAGGGCACAAACAGTCTCCGGCAGGCTGCTCTGACCCTGGGCTGGGGGGCACCACACAGAGATAAAATACTGTGCCTGCCTTCACCAGCAACGCGCTGCAGCCTTTCCACGTCTAACAACCCGAATGGATACTTGGAATAAGGCACAACTGCAGCCAGTACCGAGGGCGGGTTTGTGATACAATGTGGCTGAGAGCGAGCGCAGCCCGAGCTGGCCATTCCCCACCCATCCTGGGAAGGGACAGAGAGAGGGCAGCGAGCAGCCCCAAGGGCAAACCCCAGCTGTGCAGCCACCCTTGCCGGGCCCAGGTGGGTGAGTGTGGTGCATTTGGATGACCTGTCTGGCTGCTCGTACAGCCAGAGCAGTCTCAGGTGTGCTTGGTTTAAAGGCACCTGCCTCTCGGACCAAAGAGGGAAGCGACGTCCTTGTCACACGGCAGCACAAATGTCAGGTTGTGGGGCTCAGATCAGCTATGTTCACGTACAGTTCTCTTTTCTGCCTCTTGTGATGACACCAAATAATACACAACGTAAATGCTAAGTAACATGTTTGTAGTTGTAACAAATAACAAAGGTTTAATCTCTGCTTGCACCCCAATAGAAACCAGTAAAAATCAATGCATTTGCATTAATTCTAATGCAAAAAAAAAATAATTATAAGAGGACAAAAGCATTATTGTCACTGATCTGCCATCACACATCTGGTGCTGGTGTGGCTGGAGATTTCTGCACAGTCACACCAGCAAGTTGGAGGCAGGGGGCTGGAGTATTCAGTTCATTCCTCCTGGGTCGCACCAAACTATCATCTGCAGAGATATTTGTAAAGGAATAAATAATAATATATAGATATATAATAATATACACTCCTTGTACCTGAAGATTAGAGGTTAATCTTCTCAATTGTAAGGTGTAGAGCCTGTGTCAGTTATTTCCAGCTGACTTGGAATAATGCAATTTAGCAGTGGGGCTCTGACAAGCAAGGCAGTCCTTTCATTAAGCACATACAGGGGCACCTATCAGGATGTTTTGGGGGGATTTCAGCAACACGAGGATTTGGGGGGAAGCTGTGCAGACTCCATGATGACTCCTCAATCCAGTTGAGGATTTATTTCAAAAGGAATGTGTGATTTCAGAGGAGCTGCACGCCTGACCGGCGCTCTCCAATATCAGCCAAACAAGAGAAAACACCAAAGCACTCAAATAACAACAATTTCATTTCATTTCTGTACAATATAACCACAACAGGCATTGTTGGTTGGAAACACCAAACCCAGAACAATGGTCAAAGCCCATTCCTTCAACGAGCAAGCCACAATTTAAATATTTAACATATTTAACTTACATTTCACTTTGGCCACTGCAGGGCTTGGTCTGCCCTAGTGGAGGCAAGGTATGACTATCCCAAATACACTTTGGGGATGAAGATCTGGGGCAGGGGGCCTGAGGGCTGAACCAGGGCACGACGACGTATTCGAAGGGTTTCACTAAAGAAACATGGTCGAATTGACAGGGGCATCTCAGTGTTTGTCATTTTCAGTGAAACTGTATAAAAATTGTTGTGAGGCAGGGATGTGGAGCTTACTCCTGAATGCGGAGCACCTGGTGGGAATGAATGGTGTGCAACACAGAACCCCAGAAACACTTGGTTTGGAAAAGACACCGACTTTGACAGATCACTGCTGCCGTGTCCTGTCGTTCCTTTGACATCGCTTTTAACTGGAATTCTGTGCTCTACGGTTTCACTGGCCACCTCTTTTAGCGACACTCCACCATTTATTTTCTGACCCTTTTAGCCACCCGCTCCCCCCACCCCCGCCAATTTCTGTCCTAAGAGGCGTTTGGAGGTTCCTTTTTAATGCACATCGTCCGCACCGTGTGAGAGACCATCCCTTTTAGGCGGAATTCTGAGTGTCGCGGGGTTTCAGCACGGGCCTTCCCTCACGGGATTTTCCCGCCCTGGCCGCGCTCCCCTCACGCTCTGGCGGCAGCGCCGCCCCCACAGACCGCGGGGCCCCGCCGGGCCCTGAGGGGGTAACTCGGCACCTCCGTGCCCACGGGCGGCCCACCGGGAAGGCTCCCGACGGAGGCCAGGCCGAGACACCCGCCGCCCTTACCGAGGCGCAGCGGGCTGCAGGCTGAGGGTGATGACGCAAGCGGCGGTTCCGGCGCCGGGGCGGTGACCCAGGCGGCGGCGCGGGCGGAAGGAAGGAAGGGAAGGAAGGAGGCGGGGGGTGCCGGGGTGTCTGGCGGCCGCCGCCGCCGCGGTTCCGTCGCCGGGAGCGGGGGGGGGGGCGGGAGCGGGCGGCCTGAGGGCAGAGCGCGAGCGCGCGCCGCGTGAGGGGGGAGCGCGAGAGCGGCGCGAGCGGCGGCCGCAGGAAGTATCGCGAGAGTTGGCGCGGCGGCGGCGGCGCTAGAGGTGACCGAGGCAGCGGCGGCCGCGGGCGCCTCCTCCTCTTTTTCCTCCTCCTCCTCCTCCTTTTCCTTCCTCTCCGGCCATGGAGAAGGCGGTCGGCGCGGCGGTAGCGGTGACGGCGGAGGAGGGAGGCGGCGAGGGCGGCGGCGGCGAGGCCGGCAGCGCCACAGCGGGGCCCGGTCCCCCGGAGGGGCCGAGCGGCCCCGGCGCGCCCCCGCCGCCGTGCGGGCCCGGGGCGGCCGGGCTGGTGCGGGTGTGCGACCTCCTGCTGAAGAAGAAGGCGGTGCCGGGCAAGGCGAAGCGCGGCGGGCGGGCGGCCCGGCCGGCCAGCAGCAGCGAGAGCGGCGGCGGCGGCAGCGAGAGCAGAAACAACGGCAGCGACGACGAGGAAGACGAGGAGGAGGAGGAGGAAGACGAGGAGGAGGAGGAGGAGGAGGAAGAGGAGGTCTCCGAGGTACGGCGCGGGGGAGGCCCCGGGGGGGTTCCCTGCTGATCCGGTTTCATAATTCCTGCTGGCTGCCGGCTCCCCCCGCCCTCGGCCCTGCGGCAGAGCCGGGAAGGGGCAGCACCTCGTGGCGGGGCTCGGCCGATCCCGGCCCCGGGGAGCGGCCCCCGGGCCCCCCAGCGAGCCGGCATGCGGGCCCAGAGCCCCCCGCTTTTCCCCAGGGCTCCGAGGCTCCCTGCGAGCCGCAGCCAGCGGCCGCCTCCGTCCCCGGCGTGGCTTCACCCCGAAGGGAAAGGCCCGGGGGCTGCTGCGGGTGCTCGGTGCCGCCGTGCCGTGTGCTGTGTGGCGGGGGAGAGGCAGAGCCGGGCGCTGGGAATGCTGCCGGCCGGCCCGGCCTGAGGCTCCGGAGGCAGAGCCGGGCGCTGGGAATGCTGCCGGCCGGCCCGGCCTGAGGCTCCGGAGGCAGGCCGGAGCGCTGGCTGCGCGGCTGGCGAGGTGCTGGCGCGCCCAGTGGTGGGAATAGGCCCGGTGGTGTTGGGGAGAGCGTGCAGGTAAAGCAGGTGAAGGTGCAGCTGAAGCAGGTGAAGGTGCAGCCAGGCGAGGCTGTTGAGCGGCGTTTTCTCCGAAGCTGGAAGCCGCCCTGGTCCCATGCAATGCAGAAACAAGCCCGGGGAAGCATTAGTAACTCGGTTTTGTCTGTGCTAGGATTTTCAGGTTTGTATCGTTGGAAAAGGCCGGTGAGGCTGGGAGCCCCTCATTTGCATGTGTAGTCACACAGGGTTGCTTTGTTGAATGGTTTTAATGCTGTAACCTCCCCAGCTGAGCATTCATTTCTGCTTTGGTTGTTTTTTTGAGTAGTGTCCGCGGAAAAGTCCGCTTTGAAGTTCTTTAGCTTTTCTTTGAACTTGGTTTCTGAGCAGTTTGGCTTTCAAGAGATATATCTACACTTCTGTTAGAAATTGGGCAGGAAGGAAGGGTCTGATAGCTTCGAGGAAGGGCTGGGCTAGGATGCTGATAGCTTTTTCCAAGGTTAAGCTGCACTCTGCCTTTTATTCCTGCTGAAGTTGATACAAGAAGCAGGGTGGGAAGGGCAGAGACAGCTGAGGAGTTCAGGTGGTGGGTGAGGTGAGCCTCTGCCTGCTTGCTGTGCCTTCAGAGCACTTATTTCACATTCTTTACAGAGAGGAAGAAATGCCAGTGGCCATTAAATATCCTGAGGCAGCAGAATAGTTCTTTTTTTTTTCTTTGACAGAGTGACATGTGCCATAGATACTGATATACTGATAGAGGCAATTTGTGAAGGCAGTTTGGGCATCTGGAAGCTTCCCTGATGGTCTCATCTTATCCTAAGTGAGGGCTTTCCCAGGCTGGGTGGTCTGGGATTAAATATTAAGCAGGGCTAAGTAAGCAAGTGAATAATACTGAGCTGATGAAATTCAGGATTCACAACAAAACACATGCCACGTGCTTCATTTATAATTGTTCTTGAGCATGCAGGTTGCTTGCAGAAATCTGTTCTAGTCTTTCTCCTGGTGACTTCAGGATAAAATGATGCAGCTTGTAGAACATGTCACAGTTTTTAGGAATGTGAACATGAGGATGGCCTGATTAATGGAGCAGAGCATCCAACTTGAACATCGTTCCCAGCAGCTCCTGGGGAGGAAAAGTGTTTTGAATGTTCTCAGAGAAAAGGGAGTTTCCTTGTCTGAGGAACCTGATGGTTAGTTTTGGCTTTTAGAGGCTTAAAAAAAAAAAAAACACTGTAGGAACCAAGGGCTTTGTAGTTGTTTGGGGGTTAATTTTTTTTTTTTTTATTTCACATTTTCTTGAGTTGTGCCCAACTTTTCATTTTGATTGTGGTCTTCTGACCACAGGCAGCGTGGAAGGCACATAAAGTGTGGAAAAACACAAAAGTGCAAGTTGCTGGCTTTGCTGTGAGTGGAAAGTGCTGTGGGAATGCTGCAGAAGCTGCTGTTCCCTCCCAACCGTTCCCTTCATTATCTCTGTAAACTTAAGATAGTTTGTCTTAGGCTATTTTTTGCCCTTCCCATGCTTAATACATTAAGACTTCTCTAATCTCTGAAGCCAAGTGCTTTTAGATTTGACTGCTAATGAGACTGCTTCTAAAAATCAGGGGTACTGTAGCAACAAGTCCAAGGAGTTCTGAAGGGAAACCTGGTGCATCCTGAGTCACAGAAACCCCAGGAGCACAGAGACATTGTTCAGCTTAGTTGTTGGTGAGCTGATGGAGTGGAATCAGGAGTTGGGATCAGCTGTTTGCATGGCCAGGTCTGAGCTCCATCAGATCTCAGCGTGGAAATGGAAACACAGGCACTGTGGAGAGCTTTGGGAGAAGTTTAGTGGGAATTTCATACCAACAGCCACTGAGCTCCTGTGACACTGTTCATGGCAACCTCCAAGGCTGATCTTTCAAACTGCAGCAAATTACTGCAAAACCCCAAGACTTTAGGTAGTGGGCTCCAGTGTTGTCTGTAAAAGGTAAATTGCCTTTTCCCTAAAAAACAGTGGTTAAAAAATGGCAACTTTTCTCCATCTACAGGAAGAGGAATCTTGAGGAATGAGAAGAATGACAGTAGGAGTCAGATAGCAGGGGAGCTCAGCTTCCAGGTTCCTTCCACATGTTCTTGTCCGTGGAAATTGTCTTCAGCACTTCCATTTGCAGTGAAAGGTGTAAAAAATGAGCAGGTCCTCTAAGCAAGCTGCTGCTTAGAAAAGTGCAGAGTGCATTAGGGCTTCTCTCATTTAACACTGAAGGGTTTAGTTGTGTAATAAAAATTGTTCACAAGCTTATTTCAGGTCTTTGAACTTGGAAGATGTTTGCTGCTGGCAGTGAAATTTAAAATTGCCATTTATATCCATCTTAGGAATTTGTAGGTTATATCTTGTCCATGAATCTTGTGAGGCTCCAAGGTGTAGATCCACCTTGGATTTGTGTGTTTATTACCTTCTCTGTTGCTGGATTCTTAGGTGCTGTGCAAATTACCCTTCCAGAATATAATCCTCAGTTAGCTGTGCCTGCAAGCACTGCCCTTTCAAAAGATGCTTTTTGAGATGTTTTGGCTGTTTTTTAAGCCTTCGTGGTTCACTTGGGCCTCCTGGAAGTAAAAGCTCATTTTTGTTTTTTCAGCTGCAATTGAAACAGTAATTGAACTGAGCTACTAAGATGAAGTAAGTGGAACAGCACAACACCACCAGTCCTCTAAAATTTCTTCATGCAGAAGAAGCTACTCTGAATTCCTTGGATTCAGATTTAAGGCCAAGTTCATCTGAAAACTTGGGCGTCCTGGTGTGGTTTCAAGAGCATCACAGGCACATGGTTGTAATATTTAAATTGGAAAAGGCTTGAAGAGCTTAAGTGTTCAAATGAGCTGATTGGAAGCACAGAATTTATTTTAGCAATCTGTTTCCTTTTTTTAACCCTAGCAGTCCTCATCAGAATCCTGGAATAAGGCCTTTGGGCTCTGCAGGGCCACCATGCCTGCCTTGACCACTGTGTGATGTGTTGCCTTCTCTGCCATTGCTTTCATGGCCTTGGGTCCTCACAGATGTGACAGAGCATGCAGCTGACCCTGACATCCTGAGGTGCACTTCAGTCTCACATTCTGCAGCACTGTTTATCTTGTAATTATTTTTATTTTTTTTTCCTGTCTGTTTCAGCTGTGTTTTGCCTGTACCACTTAGTTTCTTCCCCTCAAAAGACAGAAATACTGTAGGATGGTTCTCCAAAATCCCTGAAATCTCAGGGTTTATGTTGCTAGGGGAATCCTACAACCAGGTTTCACAGTAGTGAAACCTGCTGTGGTTGACCCCGGGAAGCATTAGCCAAAAGTGTTTAACATCCCTTCCTTCCTGTTCTGGACTGGCTTCCAGCAAAATCAGGTTGGTTAGACCTAATGCTTTTTATTTTTTTTAATTGTTAAATATTACTATATTTCTGTGTGCTTTATATAATTCAAGTAATCAGTGAATATCTGGGTTGAAAAAGAAACCCCCCAGCAGAAAGTGACCACTGCAGAAGGTGGAGTTCAATATTGGTGGCACCATGTGAATTTGTTTACTTCCTTAGATATTTCTTCAGGAAATGTCCTTATAAACATAATTCCCATGTGCAGGCTGGAGCCAAACACCTCACATTTCAAGCCAGTAATTCAGTTCTGTAAAGAGAATGGTTTCTCTGGAAGGGGTTTAGCTGAGAGAATTTCCTCATCTGTCTAGGTTGAAGGCAAATGGGATTATGTGTGTTTGTTTTTTTCCCCTCTATCTGTGTTTTAAAAGCAAAACAGTTGGTGCTTATGTGGGATATAGCTGATTTGCAATTGGGTTTGGGAACTGAAAATCAATGCTGCAGATCCAGGATAAGTAAGGAGCC